TAAAAGAAAGAGGAGGATGAGGAGAAGGAGGAAGAGGAAGAAGAGGGGAGCGAAGTGCTTTCATGTCCTCGAGGGGGGGGGAGCAGGAGCGGGATATCGTTGAAGGTGGACGTGGTGAGGAGAAGGCAAGATTGGGGGGTTTGAAAATAACGATTTCCCGTCCCCTATCACATGAATTGTGATATCCAGTTGGCCTGGGACACGTCATCACGAAGCTCGTCCCCATAGATGTTCTCCTGCCCGTTGCGCCGCGTGTGGTGCCGACAGAAGTCCAACCACGTAGAACATTGAGGGGCCAAGTACATTGTTCCTTTCGGAACTACTTGTAGCATGATATGCATCGCGTAAAGTGCACCTCTCAACGTGCACGCGTCTTGAAACACGGGGCAATCTACTTTGTCGAACGACGAGACCTCGTATCCTTTGGAGCTGACCTGCGAAGATATCCCCCCAGACCCAGAGAAGAGCTCCACAAAGTCCAAGCTACGACTGACGGCCGTCATGATGGCAACCGCTTCGCCAGCCAAGACCACAAGTACAGCTGCTGGACAACAGCGATGGATATGCGTGAAACCATGGTGCTCCAGTTCCGAGCTCCTGCGCTCGGCGTGTCGTTTCGCATCCACATTCACTTGCACGTGAGAAGCCCCTGCAACTGACATTGCGTCAGACTGATCAGATCCCAACAATCAAGTGCATCCAATCGCCAGAGTTGCTCATGTGCGCATTGACCTCGAGCCGACTCTGAAGGTCCAGAAGCGAGAACAACCTCCCATCATATGTCAACCGGTGGGCGTAAGCTGCAACATCCCGCAACAACCGATTTAGATCTTCATCCAACAATGCGTTGTAACACACGGGGGAGCCGTGCGTCGGTATCCTTGGGGAGTTGGTCTCAAGTCGCCTCGCCCTGCCGACGCCCACCAGAAGTCTCCTAGCTTTCGGAAGGTGTATGCATCAGTGGATTTGGCGACGGAGCTTCCCGTAAGCGGCAGCAAGGCGCGGCGTCGGATGAAACCAGCTCGAACTGAAATATCTTTCGGGCATGGGGAGGGGGGGCGGGAGTTCGGGGCCCATAGCCACTGGGCAGCTAGGGAATTCTGATGTGAATGATGAGGTTGAGGAGGGTACGGAGGTGGGAAAGGGAAATGGTGGGGAGCAGGCCAGAGCTATGGCAAGGATGAAGGCAATAGGTGGATTTGCCACGACAGAACACGAGGGAACTGGTGATTTATGCGGCGGCAAGGACACAATCTTTTTCCCATATCCTAAGGATTGGGGTTCTTGTTATTACTCTGACGCCTCCCACTGCTCCTCCTTCCTCCTTCCTCCCGCTCGCGCCTCCCTCCTCCCAATGATAATCGCCAGATAAGACAAGACAAGATAAGATACTACAAGATAAGATAAGATAGCACAATATATGATAAGGTAATATAAGATATATGACAAGGTAGGATAATATATAAGATAAGACAGCCTATCATGGTCGCAAAAACGCTGCCAGGGGCATCATTTTGGGAGCCCCAAGGGCCACCCTGGCTGATCTCACGAAGCCCGTTCGCGCCGATGTTGGTGGGACGTTCAGCTAAAAATTGCCGCTTGGCCTCCCAAACATGTCTCTCTTGAGAGCCTCATGATCACAAAACGCTGCCAGGGGCATCACTTGGGAGCCCCAAGGGGGAGCCACCCTGGCTGATCTCACAAGCCCGTTCGCGCCGATTTTGGTGGGACGTCTC